GCTGCTAGTCCAAGGACCTATGGTGTCCCTCAAACACCTTCTACTAGTCTATGGACCTATGGTGTCCCTCAAACACCTGCTGCTAGTCCAAGGACCTATGGTGTCCCTCAAACACCTTCTACTAGTCTATGGACCTATGGTGTCCCTCAAACACCTTCTACTAGTCTATGGACCTATGGTGTCCCTCAAACACCTGCTGCTAGTCCAAGGACCTATGGTGTCCCTCAAACATTTGCTGCTAGTCTAAGGACCTATGGTGTCCCTCAAACACCTGCTGCTGGTCTAAGGACCTATGGTGTCCCTCAAACACCTGCTGCTAGTCTAAGGACCTATGGTGTCCCTCAAACAGTTGCTGCTAGTCTAAGGACTTATGGTGCCCCTCAAACACCTTCTGCTGGTCTAAGGACCTATGGTGCCCCTCAAACACCTTCTGCTAGTCTAAGGACCTATGGTGCCCCTCAAACACCTGCTGCTAGTCCAAGGACCTATGGTGTCCCTCAAACACCTTCTACTAGTCTATGGACCTATGGTGTCCCTCAAACACCTTCTACTAGTCTATGGACCTATGGTGTCCCTCAAACACCTGCTGCTAGTCCAAGGACCTATGGTGTCCCTCAAACATTTGCTGCTAGTCTAAGGACCTATGGTGTCCCTCAAACACCTGCTGCTGGTCTAAGGACCTATGGTGTCCCTCAAACACCTGCTGCTAGTCTATGGACCTATGGTGTCCCTCAAACACCTGCTGCTGGTCTAAGGACCTATGGTGTCCCTCAAACAGTTGCTGCTAGTCTAAGGACCTATGGTGTCCCTCAAACACCTGCTGCTACCTGTAAGTACATTTTAAACACAGAGCTGGAGAAATCTAAAAATCTTCTATATATAACTACATAATCAAAAAGGAGCATTGTAACCTACATTAGACAACTTGGACTCAGGGATAGAATCTATAATCTAAAGGTTTATAATTTCTGAAAACTAAACGATTACAAAACATTATTCCCTATCTGTAATACACAACTATTTTTTCATACTTCACTGTAATTTTTTTAATTAATTAATTAATGGATATTAGAACTCCAATGTACGCTATTGTACACTGATTGAAGTCAGCCCTTCCTAATCCGTGACCTCTAAACTTCCCTTCACATCATTCACACATGGATGAGTACCATGGAACAAACAGTAGATTAGCTCCAGCCGCCAGACCAGTGCTGCCTTCATTGGGCTGCACTAAAGCCACACAACAAAGCTCATACTTCTATCCCTCGTGATGTTGAAATCAAACGGCAGGATAGCCTACATTCCAAATCCGTTACTTTGTGTCGTTTACGGGCTTCACAAATATTGTACTATAGGTCTACGTTACTGTAACTTGAAAGTAAATTAAGGTTTTTTCTTTGAAGGCTACAATGTATCCTTCTTTCCTGAAATGTTTTCCATTTGTAAATCCTGGAAAAAAAAGTTGATGTGCAAAAAACACGGAAAAAACATCAACCATTTTTTTCTGTTAGAAATCAAAACGAGGGCAGGTTGGAGCCCAGCACACAAACATCTTAAAAGTAAAAGAGGTGAGGAGAAAACTCAACATGATAAAGCTGTTTAACCTGTTACACTGCTAGGTTGACTAGTTAGTCAGTAAAAAGTTATATACATTTTCATCACCTACCTGTCAGGAATAGCACAGGAATCCACAATCTCAGCAACCAACACATCTTCCGTATCAAAGTATTTGCGTTTAGAGAAATCCTATGTACATGTTCTCCTCGCCTTTTCCACCTCATTCCTGAAACCGCAATTCGGAGCGCCTAGCTCTGCCCGAGTAAAACCGGATTGTAACGGTTTTAGCACTGCCCGAGTATAACGGGATTGTAACGCTCCTAGCTCTGCCCGTGTATAACGGGACTGTACAGGTCCTGGCTCTGCCCGAGTATAACGGGACTGTACCGTTTGAGAAATGGGTGGTGCATGCGCGGTTTGGTCGTTTTGAGGACAAGGGGGGCGTTTATTTAAAAGTGACTCAAGCGTCTTTACATGTGGTGGTCAATGGGACTATGTAGCCTAAAGAGGTCATTCTTGAATTGCGGTGGTAAATGCGGATCCTTGACTTTGGCACCATGTAAAAACACTTTAAAATTACAAAAACATGACAAGTAATACCGTTTTTTTTTTTACTGTTATTTAATAAGAAAACATATGTAAGTTCATTATACTACAAACATAATTTTGTATGCATTGTAGAAACTACTGGGGGCTAACAGGTTGGCTTGTCCTACTGGTGATGTGTAGTGGTGTAGTGACATGTCTTGGCGATTTAGAGGTATCTATCTATCTATTATTTTGAATGCTAGACATTGAAACAAAAACAATAAAGACATGTGTGTCCCTCAGTTTTATGTCATTGGTGTTACCGCCTTGAAAATCCCTGATTACAAAGATATACAAGGACCTTGAGCATTCTCTCCAGCGGCAAACTGTTATCAGGGGAGGGGTCTATATTAAATAAAATATATTATTATGTCACTATGACATTTGATGATTCCATTGATCATTTGGTGTGTCTGAATCCAACGTGTCACTTGGTGTTAGTCAATTTGAATGAAGCTAAGTAACATTGTGAGCAAAATGATTAATCATATCACTTTAGTAAATAGTTTTTTAAAAGGATTGATGACCTTAGATTTGAGCATTTGTGGCCTCCATTTCAGAAAATCATAATTGACCTAAAATGTCTCATTGTTGTTTCTGTAATTGGTGTTGCTACTCCTACTGGTGGAACAATGGCATCATAATGGTATAAAATAGGAAAAGACATTAAGCTACCATTAGTTGATTTAGAATGGGAAGATGTACCCCAAATACATTTAAATAAAAACAAATCTAGAAAAATACAGTTCATTTTTTTCCAAAATGCCATGCCCAAATGACACCTTAATTCAAGAACGACCACTAGTATCCTAGTGCAGGTGGATATAAAATTGTGTTTTATTAGAAATCGATTGAATATTATATTTTCATTTAACAATGACTCTTAGTCGATGGGTGCATATTTATAATCGAGAATAAAGGCAGCCCATTGGGCACAAACTGGTTGACTCAACTTTGTTTAAATGTAATCTGGTCATCTGAGTCTTTTTTCCTAGGCTAGGGACTGGACAAACCCTTGGCCAGGTTGTAGGCTCACTAGGCTGAATACCCAATCTTGTTCAAGATAGCATGCAAAGGACGCAGGATATCTTTGGAGAGATCTTCTCAATTGCTATAATAATCTGTGCAGAATCTCGAACAGCATTAATCACTTGCATTATGTGCTTTTGATGTAATCTCAACTGCAATCCAGGTAATTCGGTTGTGCTATTAGATGAAGCACAGTGATAACATATTAAGTCGTATAAAAATAAATATCTGACATTGTATTCCCATTTGAACGTTGTTGTGCTTTTAAAATGGTTGAAAGCGCAGTGATAACACATTTAGATGACAACTAAACCAAAAACCAGACATTGTTTTTACATTGATAATTTTGTTGTGCTTTTAGATGGTTGAAAGCATAGTGATAACACATTGGGAATTCAACGAGTAGTTCGTTCCACCGCTTTTACAAACTAATCGACGGTACCATCGTAGGCTAATCTGTGAGAGAGATAAACGAGACAACAGTCCCACAACGAAGAGAAATTAGTCAAGGTGCATTGCTGCCCTCTGTCGTTTCTTTAGGTTCTGTACATTCATTTTCTAGAGCGAAAGAGAAAGAGGCAACATTATTTTGTCTGCACTGAAACCACACACACTGGGGCCTTGCAATAGATACAACATTTTGCTTTAATATAAATTAACTTTAATCCCAATGAAAACATTTGTACACTGATTAGAAACATGATACATTTTTAATTACAGGTTTATAATTTTACCATCACATCTAACCAAAACCTCAAACATTTTATGTTTTAATTAGCTAAATTGTGTCCCTGTACATTACAAATGCATAAAAACAAAATAAATGTTAGACATTTTTTGCAAAGATTAAAGCCACTTCCTATGCACCAGTTTAGTGAGTATGTTGTCTGGCCTCAGGCTATAATGAGGAAGTGAAACGACAGGCACATGCCACACAGTGAATCTAGTTTCTCTCTCTCTTCTTAAAAATGGGGCTCTAGGTTCTCTTTCATAATGCTTGATCTCTCTCTCGCTCCAAAAACAAGTCATGGTTTGAATACGTTAATGACGACTCACCTGAGACACCTGACACTACACTACTCACAGCTGAAGAACTGTGTATTAACAAGCATCATGAAGCAAAATAGATGTACAAAACAGAACACAGTACTTCTAAGTAATAAAAACAACTATTAAAAGGTTAACAACTTTATTAATTCAATGTAACCCCAACTTTTCACATTAGAGGAGGTATTAGCAATCTACAGTTGATAAAAACAAATAAACCGTCACCAAATGGCACGTGGTTCTCAAACGGACAAGACCTGAGATTGACATAAAAATCCAACCAACAGTAGACAATAAGGCAGGTGGCAAAATCAATTATCCAATAAGCTACACTGAGAATTGATACACAGCGTTTTTCAGGCAATGGCAGCTTGTAACAGCAAGCAAATTGAAATTCCGATTTTAAAAAAATCCTCATTGAAAATACTAAATGGCACTTTTCAAATCTTGAATCAGCATTTCAATTCGCTTTCTGACTACTGAACTGTCACCAATTTGAGGCCACGTGCCTTCAATCAAAGGACTTTACATAGATAACAGTGATACAATGCCGCTCCATCTTTAGTCATCATAGTCTATAGCAGGGTTCCCCAACTGGCGGACCCTTTTATCTGGCCCCCCAAGTTTTCTGAGCAAAAAATACATGATATATATTTGTATTTTTATCATTTTTATTGTTGGACATAAGACTGTACAAACCCCAGGAAATCAGCCCCAAGTGATTTAATTTTTTGGAAATCTGTTCAAGTATTCCCACATATAAGAGAGAGATATACAGTATATGTGATCGTATACAAATGTAAGCAAGGTTATAAATTATTATATTTGTCGTCAAATATGATATATGTTTTGGCTTCTTGCAGTCAATCTGCAGTCTACAAATGATTTGTAATTATGTTCCGGCCCTCTGACCTTCCACTAAAGAAAAAAATAATCTAGTTGATGATCCCTGATATATAGGCTTTAAAAAATGTTATGTTGTGTTTATCGTTGTCCTGTTATTTATGTAACTAAGTTCAGCCTAGTCGCTAGCCACTTTGTGTAGCCTTACCTAGCTACTATGTTTACGCTATTTATTTATATTTTGAACCACTCTAAAAAGAAGTTCCCTTGCGGAAAAACTAAAGTGATTTTATTATATTCTATTTGTAGAAGGCTTAGCAGGTTTATTGGCCGGTACACTGGGCGGTCTGTCACGGTCATCATAGGGCTCATCATAACGGTCACTGTACCGTCCGCCGTCGCTGCGTTCATCGTAACCACGGTCATGGTCGTACCGGTCACGGTGGTCAGAGGAGCGGTCGTCCTGGTTCCTGCGGTCACCGTAGCGTTCGCGGCGGTCATCGTAGTCGCTGCGGCGGTCATCGTAGTCGCTGCGGCGGTCATCGTAGTCCTTCTCGCTGCGTTCCTTGTACTGGTCGCGCCGGTCCACGATCTTCGGTGGGTGGTCGTCGTCATCGTCGTCTTCCGTGCTGCGCGTCTGGCGAACCTCGCCGTTCACCACGGGTTTGATGTCGTGGAACTCCTCCCCCTCTGGAACCCTGAGGACATATCAGAGGACAGGAGACTCAGCACGCTGTCTGTTCTCACCATCTCAGCTCTCCTGCTGTGTGTGTGTCAGACCATACGTACCCCATAGCGTACTCCTCTGCTTTCTCCTCCTTCTTTCTGCAGCAGCAGCAGTAGATGAGGATGATGAGCAGCACCAGAGCACCAACCACAACGCCTCCAATGATACCTGCTGTTGAACCCATGTTCATAGACGCTACAGGAGAGAGATGAGAGGAGAGGAGAGGAGAGGAGAGGAGAGGAGAGGAGAGGAGAGGAGAGGAGAGGAGAGGAGAGGAGAGGAGAGGAGAGGAGAGGAGAGGAGGTGAAGAGGAGAGGAGGAGAGGTGAAGATGAGCGGTGAAGAGGAGAGGTGAAGAGGAGAGGTGAAGAGGAGAGGTGAGGAGGAGAGGTGAGGAGGAGAGGTGAGGTGAAGAGGAGAGGTGAGGAGGAGAGGTGAAGAGGAGGAGTGGTGAGGTGAGGTGAGGTGAAGAGGAGAGGAGAGGAAAGGTGAAGAGGAGAGGAGGAGAGGAGAGGTGAGGAGGAGATGTAGAGGAATATACATTTCTATTGATAAAATGTGTCTGTATGTATCCTGTTACAGGACCAGCCTCATGTGATGGTTATGTTGCCTCAGATCTGAACATTTGTGTTAGCTCCCAGAGATAATGCCTAAGCTTTAGCTCATCAGGCTAACACAGTCTCGTGTTGCACACTCACGTGGCATGACAGACAGCGTCAGGTTGCATTTGGTACTGCGGATCTTATTAGAAGAGGTACAGACGTAGTATCCTGAGGATTCCATGGTGAGGTTGAAGAGAGACAGAACACCATCCTCTGGAAGAGATGGATACAATGTGTTAGGTCAGGGTCAAGGTCATATCAACATACATATGAACTCAAACTGAACAAGCACACACAGACACTACATACTCTCCGTTGTCCTGGGTGCAGGTGCTCGGGGCATGTTTTTGACGTCGTAGCCCTGCCACTTGTAGATAGGAGGAGGAGAGCCCTCTTCAGACAGACAGGTGAGAGTGATGTCCTGGAAGTACTCTGCCCTCCCATTGATCTTACAGATAGGCACAGAGGGAGCCACTGTGTACACAATATTTTTGCAATGTTAGGTTAAACACTATCATCAACATGCGACACTTTACGGATTTCTAAGGTTTATTATGGAATAAAGCGGAATGAAAGCTACATTCTAGGGTTTATTATGTAATATTCTGTAATTCTACTTCATTCTATGGAAGTCATTGTTTTTTACCCAGGACCACCAGGCGGGCGGTGTCAGCCAGCTGACCCTCGTCATCCTTGGGGATGGAGACCCGACACTCGTATTGTCGGTTGTCCTGGAGACCGATGGAGGAGAGCTTCAGGTTGGCTATTCCTTTAGCTATGTCCTGCTCCAGGGAAGCTCTTCCGTCATACCTGTCACTGATGTCCAGATCACCAGTAGAGTAGTAGGATAGGATGGATATCTGGAAACAACAATGTCAACAACAACAACAACATGTACAACATGGGCTCCCGAGTGGCGCAGTGGTCTAAGGCACTGCATCACTACAGACCCCCTGGTTCGATTCCAGGCTGTATCACAACCGGCCGTGATTGGGAGTCCCATAGGGCGGCGCACAATTGGCCCAGCGTCGTCCGGGTTTAGCCGGTGTAGGCCGTCATTGTAAATAAGAATTTGTTCTTAACTGACTTGCCTAGTTAAATAAAGGTAAAATAAAAAATAAAAAATGTTAACACAAATTCTAACCTCCCCTGTTATTGGTAATGGTGAGAATGTAGCATGTCTTGGGGGTATGATCTTTGACCCTCTAACTTTCTCACTCATCATTATTCACGATTCATTCAGGATTACCCGTAATCATGGTAGCGTCCACATTAATGTAGATGTATTTAGAAACATCTTCTATTCTTATTTATAATAAAAGTGACAATTTACCATTCATTTCTATTGGGCACCAAATATTTAGATTTTAGTCATTTAGCAGACGCTCACAGTTAGTGAATACATACTTTTTTATACTGGCCCCCCGTGGGAATCGAACCCACAACCCTGGCGTTGCAAACGCCATGCTCTATCAACTGAGCTACATCCCTGCCGGCCATTCCCTCCCCTACCCTGGGCCAATTGTGCGACGCCCATGAGTCTCCCGGTCGCGGCCGGCTGCGACAGAGCCTGGATTCGAACCAGGATCTAGTGGCACAGTTAGCACTGCGATGCAGTGCCTTAGACCACTGCGCCACTCAGGAGTAATAAATAATCTGAAACACAACCAAAACGAACTGCAGTTAGTGCATACATTATTCTTTTCATACTGGCCCCCCGTGGGAATCGAACCCACAACCCTGGCGTTGCAAACGCCATGCTCTATCAACTGAGCTACCTCCCTTTATCAAGGGGATCAATAATTGAACCCCACTGGACGTAATAGTCAGGGCTGGTCAGAGCAGTTTCTGGCTGATTTATTACCTCTGGCTCTTCTGGATTGTCTGCTTCTGCCAACCAGTATATGATGACCAGACTGTTGGTTGGGTTCTTGGGTTTGAAGCTGCATGGTATAGTGATGTTGTCTCCCCTGGCGAACTCATAGATACGCTCAGGGATGGACACCTGTAAAGCTACAGTTGTGGACACGACTGGGACAGAGAGAGACAAACAGGAGGACAGGACAGGAAGAAACAGGGAGACAGGAAGACAGGTTTTACAGACACTGGAGGCATAGAGCTGTAGGAGGTGAGCACTGTTAAGATTAAGTGGTGAATAATGGACGGAGTCAGGAGTCAAATCGGGAAATGCAGAGTTTATTCCTCACAGCAGTTGAATGCGCTAACAGCGCCACTCGAAACAGGTACAGGGGAAAACAATCCAACCTGACCAAACACAAAATACAACAACCGTAATGAAAAAGGGGAAAATCAACCCTGGCACAAAACACATGAGCGAGTATCTCAATGAGCGAGTATCTCAATGAGCGAGTATCTCAATGAGCGAGTATCTCAATGAGCGAGTATCTCAATGAGCGAGTATCTCAATGAGCGAGTATCTCAATGAGCGAGTATCTCAATGAGCGAGTCTCTTCCCACAATGAACAATCACTCACAAAGACAAGGAGACAGAGCGAACACTTATACCCATACTAATTAGGGGAATGAGCACCAGGTGTGTGTGATTGACAAGACAAGACATGACAAGTGGAGTGATGAGAATGGGAGCGGCAGTAGCTAGTAAGCCGGTGACGACGAACGCCGAAACCTGCCCGAACAAGGAGGGGAGGCAGCCTCGGCAGAAGTCGTGACAGTGCTTTGTAACACGAAAATTAATGGCAAATGAGCTGCCACCAACTTGAAGGAGATGAAACCTTAAAGTACCACAAGAGAGGAATTATTATTTTTTCAGACTGAAAGATAATGCCCATGATGTTGCACAACAATTCAATAAGTAATTGTTTTAGTCAAAGTATGATATATTTGGGCTTGAAGTGGGAAATCCGAAGTGGGGACTTTGAATATTTTCCGTGCCAATGCTGTGTGTTTCCCCTATGACATGATGTGCTAATACATTTTCAGTCTACATTTCTTTTCAGGGTTGGGTTTTATTTGAATGTTACCACCCACCAGCATGGCATTGTATGTTAATCAGAAACACCTGCAAAGTTCTTCCTCTTTGCGAGTCGCGACTGAGCTGAGCCAAACAGCTTTTCGCCGTAGCGTACACTTGGCCACCTGAGCCATGGAGCTAATTAAAATAGAATTTAGGTTTTTGTACCTCCACTTTTTTTATTTTACCAGTAAATGAACATAATCCATTGGATAATTTGAAAATGTTCAGTATTAAAAATAAAACATTATAATAATTTAATATATATACAGTTAAAGTCGGAAGTTTACAAACACTTAGGTTGGAGTCATTAAAACTCGTTTTTCAACCACTCCACATATTTCTTGTTAACAAACTATAGTTTTGGCAAGTCGGTTTGGACATCTACTTTGTGCAGGACACAAGTAATTTTTCCAACAATTGTTTACAGACAGAATATTTCACTTATAATTCACTGTATCACAATTCCAGTGGGTCAGAAGTTTACATAAACTAAGTTCACTGTGCCTTTAAACAGCTTGGAAAATTCCAGAAAATGATGTCATGGCTTTAGAAGCTTCTGATAGGCTAATTGACATAATTTGAGTCAATTGGAGGTGTACCTGTGGATGTATTTCAAGGCCTACCTTCATCATGGGAAAATCAAAAGAAATCAGCCAAGACCTCAGAAAAAAAAATGTAGACCTCCACAAGTCTAGTTTATCCTTGGGAGCAATTTCCAAACGCCTGAAGGTACCACGTCCATCTGTACAAACAATAGTATGCAAGTATAAACACCATGGGACCACGCAGGCATCATACCGCTCAGGAAGGAGACACGTTCTGTCTCCTAGAGATGAACGTACTTTGGTGTGAAAAGTGCAAATCAATCCCAGAACAACAGCAAAGGACCTTGTGGAGATGCTGAAGGAAACAGGTACAAAAGTATCTATATCCACAGTAAAACGAGTCCTATATCGACATAACCTGAAAGGCCGCTCAGCAAGGAAGAAGCCACTGCTCCAAAACCGCCATAAAAAAGCCAGACTACGGTTTGCAACTGCACATGGGACAAAGGTCGTACTTTTTGGAGAAATGTCCTCTGGACTTATGAAACAAAAATAGAACTGTTTGCCCATAATGACCATCGTTATGTTTGGAGGAAAAAGAGGGTCGCTTGCAAGCCGAAGAACACCATCCCAACCGTGAAGCACGGGGGTGGCAGCATCATGCTGTGGGGGTGCTTTGCTTCAGGAGGGACTGGTGCACTTCACAAAATAGATGGCATCATGAGGATGGAAAATTATGTGGATATATTGAAGCTACATCTCAAGACATCAGTCAGGAAGTTAAAGCTTGGGTCTTCCAAATGGACAATGACCCCAAATGGACAATGACCCCAAGCATACTTCCAAAATTGTGGCAAAATGGCCTAAGGACAACAAAGTCAAGATATTGGAGTGGCCATCACAAAGCCCTGACCTCAATCCTATAGAAAATGTGTGGGCAGAACTGAAAAAGCATGTGTGAGCAAGGAGGCCTACAAACCTGCCTCAGTTTTACTAGCTCTGTTAGGAGGAATGGGCCAAAATTCACCCAACTTATTGTGGGAAGCTTGTGGAAGGCTACCCGAACCGTTTGACCCAAGTTAAACAATTTAAAGGCAATGCTACCAAATACTAATTGAGTGTATGTAAACTTCTGACCCACTGGGAATGTGATGAAATAAATAAAAGCTGAAATAAATCACTCTACTATTATTCTGACATTTCACATTCTTAAAATAAAGTGGTGATCCTAACTGACCTAAGACAGGGAATTTTTACTAGGATTAAATGTCAGAAAAACTGAGTTTAAATGTATTTGGCTAAGGTGTATGTAAACTTTTGACTTCAACTGTATATGCAATCATATCATGCAATTATATCATTTATAAAATGGTCATATATATTTACACTACCAGTCAAAAGTTTGGATACACCTACTCATTCAAGGGTTTTTCTTTAGTTTTACTAATTTTTACATTGTAGAATAATAGTGAAGACATCAACACTATGAAATAACACCTCTACCTAAGGTTAGGGTTAGCTACTAGGGTTATGGTACTAAGCTAACATATGGAATTGTTTTAAGATGGTCATATAATTTAGCTAATTGATTTGGAATTTTAGGACCCCTAAAATAATAATAATACAATTATTTGATAACATTTTGAATTTGGCCGTTACTACTATAGCCCATAGAAATCATTGAATAACATATTCATAAATGGCAAAAAAAAATAGTCATAAAATGAATCATAAGGAATAAGGTTTTGACGTGTGTCATATCTAGGAGATAAGAAAGCTCAGGAAATATTTAAGCTTTTTTTGTGCATATTTAACCCCTTATTTTTGTCGGCACAAAACTACCTCCATACTTCCATTCGTTTGTATGGATTTCCTTCAGACGAGTCCAAAACAGTTTGTAGGGCCAAACCGTTCGGATGCTTCAGACGTTTTCGTGAGAAGACCGATTTCCGGGATGTCTCATGGTCTGACAAACACAGGTGTAGCTCGGACACCTTCCACGGCAGATGCGGAAGGCCGACATAGGCGTTGCAAAAAAAAACGGATATCTCTCGTTTAAATTGATGGATTTTGACTGGGCTTTTTTTATTTTTATTATGTTACTTAGATTGACGCACAGGTGCATCAACAAACTGAATGATTTTTAAATGCTGCTGCGCTCTGTTTCTTCTTCTCTGGACACTAGGCAGTAAATACAAAATGTATTGTATTCTTTTACTTTCTGCTTTTTCATCAAATGTAAGTGCATCCTATTCTACCAATTGTACAAAACAAGATGAGCTGAACAAGTGAGGTGACGCCGATACAGTAGAAATGTCTATAAAGGAGAGACATTTCCCTAAAAAACACATGGGTGTGGCTCTTGCAGTGTAACATAGAGACATTTATGAAATTATATCAGATCAGTAAACTCACCGAGACAAAGTAAAACCCCAGCAAACATCCCTTTCTGCGAGGCCATCATCGATAAGTAACAGTTAAGACCTCGCCGGTCATCTGCGTTGTTTTTTGTAGGCTAGGGACCGCGGACAAGACCTTGGCCAGGTAGTAGGCTCACTAGGCTGAATACCAACACTTGTGCTCAGTGCGTTCCTGGCTGTGAAGAGGACTTAAAAATGAGTGACGTTGTCATCTGCCAATCAGAACGTCGACATTTTGCAGGTAGCGTTCTCTGCCCGCCCTCTTATCTTGTCGCCACATGCCCTGTTATTTTGTTTCTCTCACAAGACTAACCTTTTTCTCTTTGACTCTACACTTTGTCAAGAGAAACCTGTATGCTCTTGCAGTGACTAGGTCTTACCAACAGCCATAAGACACAAATGCATTTTTGAATGCAAATAGATTCTATTCTCTTCTGTAATTTCAATGTGCAGAATTGAGAGAGGCCGGTAACGTGATAGACAGTATGTTCACCAGTGGTACCAGGATGCCTGAGAGAGAAACACCTTCATTATGATTATATATATATATATATTTATTGAAGTTTAAAGGTGGGGGAGGAGAGTGGGTGTGGAAAAGACTGGTCAGGTTTCAGTGAGGAACAGGAAGGGTGTATATGTCGGAGCTGGGGAAGCCTTATATCTAGTCAGACTGGTTTGAAAAGGTTGTGTAATCTCCACAGGACAGAGTCCCTCACATACAGGCAGCCTCCTCCCCGCCAGGCAAACTGACACACACACACGCACACACACAGCTAAGGATATACCCACACTTCTGAGCCCATTAACTATTTTTTTCTCTTTCTCTCTCTCTCTTTCTCTCTCTGTTCTTTTTCTTGGGTTATGTCCCATTATGGCAAGCTATTCCCTTTATAGTGCACTCACTACTGTTGACCAGAGCAATAGACCCTGGTCAAAAGTAATGCACTATGAAAGGAATAGAGGGCCATTTTCCATGTATGGGTTTCCAGTAGGTTTCTAGCAGTGAGGTAGAGGTGTTCTGGCCTGATCACATGGAGGGTTTCTAGTAGCACAGTGAGGTAGAGGTGTTCTGGCCTGATCACATGGAGGGTTTCTAGTAGCACAGTGAGGTAGAGGTGTTCTGGCCTGATCACATGGAGGGTTTCTAGTAGCACAGTGAGGTAGAGGTGTTCTGGCCTGATCACATGGAGGGTTTCTAGTAGCACAGTGAGGTAGAGGTGTTCTGGCCTGATCACATGGAGGGTTTCTAGTAGCACGGTGAGGTAGAGGTGTTCTGGCCTGATCACATGGAGGGTTTCTAGTAGCACAGTGAGGTAGAGGTGTTCTGGCCTGATCACATGGAGGGTTTCTAGTAGCACGGTGAGGTAGAGGTGTTCTGGCCTGATCACATGGAGGGTTTCTAGTAGCACGGTGAGGTAGAGGTGTTCTGGCCTGATCACATGGAGGGTTTCTAGTAGCACGGTGAGGTAGAGGTGTTCTGGCCTGATCACATGGAGGGTTTCTAGTAGCACAGTGAGGTAGAGGTGTTCTGGCCTGATCACATGGAGGGTTTCTAGTAGCACGGTGAGGTAGAGGTGTTCTGGCCTGATCACATGGAGGGTTTCTAGTAGCACGGTGAGGTAGAGGTGTTCTGGCCTGATCACATGGAGGGTTTCTAGTAGCACGGTGAGGTAGAGGTGTTCTGGCCTGATCACATGGAGGGTTTCTAGTAGCACGGTGAGGTAGAGGTGTTCTGGCCTGATCACATGGAGGGTTTCTAGTAGCACGGTGAGGTAGAGGTGTTCTGGCCTGATCACATGGAGGGTTTCTAGTAGCACGGTGAGGTAGAGGTGTTCTGGCCTGATCACATGGAGGGTTTCTAGTAGCACAGTGAGGTAGAGGTGTTCTGGCCTGATCACATGGAGGGTTTCTAGTAGCACAGTGAGGTAGAGGTGTTCTGGCCTGATCACATGGAGGGTTTCTAGTAGCACAGTGAGGTAGAGGTGTTCTGGCCTGATCACATGGAGGGTTTCTAGTAGCACAGTGAGGTAGAGGTGTTCTGGCCTGATCACATGGAGGGTTTCTAGTAGCACAGTGAGGTAGAGGTGTTCTGGCCTGATCACATGGAGGGTTTCTAGTAGCACAGTGAGGTAGAGGTGTTCTGGCCTGATCACATGGAGGGTTTCTAGTAGCACAGTGAGGTAGAGGTGTTCTGGCCTGATCACATGGAGGGTTTATAGTAGCACGGTGAGGTAGAGGTGTTCTGGCCTGATCACATGGAGGGTTTCTAGTAGCACAGTGAGGTAGAGGTGTTCTGGCCTGATCAGAGGGAACTCCTCCTCTATCACCTGGATACAATATTGTGTGTGTGTGTGTGTGTGTGTGTGTGTGTGTGTGTGTGTGTGTGTGTGTGTGTGTGTGTGTGTGTGTGTGTGTGAGAGAGAGAGAGAGAGGGGGAGAGACAGTAAGAGAGAGAAATAGAGAAAGAGAGATGTGGATGTGGCTCAGGCTTATGCTGTATAACACCACCCTCTTGTGACAGTAGCTACTCAGTTCATCCATACGTAGGGTTTAAACTAGAGCTTAAGCTGTTTACTGTTGTCTCTGCAGTATATCAATGTTTTCATCTGGAGGCCATTATAGATGTGTCTTGATATCGATCATGTTCTAATGACAACATGAGACAGACAGGCTTAAATCCATCTCAGAGCAATTTTAGAGTTGATTGTGATTGTGTCTGCGTCCCAAATGACACCCTATTCCCTACATAGTGCACAACTTTTGAAAAGAGCCCTAGTGAATAGGGTGCCATATGGGACATGGCCTATGTGATTGTGATAGCAGACCTTGTTTCCCTCCAATGGTGGTGAGTCATCAGAGATCAGGGAACAGCTGTGTGTGTGTGTGTCTGTGTATGTGTGTGTCTGTGTGTGTGTGTGTCTGTGTGTGTGTGTCTGTGGTGTGTGTGTGTGTGTGTGTGTCTGTGTGTCTGTGTGTGTGTGTATGTGCCTGTGTGTGTTTGTGTCTGTGTCTGTGTCTGTGTGTGTTTGTGTCTGTGTGTCTGTGTGTGTGCGTATGTCTCTGTGTGTGTGTGTGTGTGTGTGTCTCTGTGTGTGTGTGTGTCCTCTTGTGTGATGTGTGTGTGTGTGTCTGTGTCTGTGGGTGTGTGTCTTGTGTGTGTGTGTGTGTGTGTCTGTGTCTGTGTCTGTGTCTGTGGTGTCTGTGTGTGTGTGTGTGTGTGTGTCTGTGTGTGTGTGTGTGTGTGTGTGTGTGTGTGTGTGTGTGTGTCTGTGTGTCTGTGTGTGTGTGTCTGTGCCTGTGTGTGTTTGTGTCTGTGTCTGTGTCTGTGTGTGTTTGTGTCTGTGTGTCTGTGTGTGTGCGTATGTCTCTGTGTGTGTGTGTGTGTGTGTCTCTGTGTGTGTGTGTGTCTCTCTGTGTGTGTTGTGTGTGTGTGTGTTGTGTCCTGGTGTGTGTGTGTGTGTGTCTGTGTCTGTTGTCTGTGTCTGTGTCTGTGTGTGTGTCTGTGTCTGTGGTGTGTGTGTGTGTGTGTCTCTGTGTGTGTGTGTGTGTGTGTGTGTGTGTGTGTGTGTGTGTGTGTGTGTGTGTGTGTTGTGTGTGTTGTGTCTGTGTGTGTGTCCTCTGTGTGTGTGTGTGTCTCTGTGTGTGTGTGTGTGTGTGTGTGTGTGTGTGTGTGTGTGTGTGTGTGTGTGTGTGTGTCTGCGTCCCAAATGACACCCTATTCCCTACATAGTGCACAACTTTTGAAAAGAGCCCTAGTGAATAGGGTGCCATATGGGACATGGCCTATGTGATTGTGATAGCAGACCTTGTGTTTCCCTCCAATGGTGGTGAGTCATCAGAGATCAGGGAACAGCTGTGTGTGTGTGTGTCTGTGTATGTGTGTGTCTGTGTGTGTGTGTGTGTCTGTGTGTGTGTGTCTGTGGTGTGTGTGTGTGTGTCTGTGTGTGTGTGTCTGTGCCTGTGTGTGTCTGTGTCTGTGTCTGTGTGTGTTTGTGTCTGTGTGTCTGTGTGTGTGCGTATGTCTCTGTGTGTGTGTGTGTGTCTCTGTGTGTGTGTGTGTCTCTCTGTGTGTGTGTGTGTGTGTCTGTGTCTGTGTGTGTGTGTCTGTGTGTGTGTGTGTGTGTGTGTGTCTGTGTCTGTGTCTGTGTCTGTGTCTGTGTCTGTGGTGTGTGTGTGTGTGTCTGTGTGTGTTTGTGTCTGTGTGTGTTTGTGTCTGTGTCTGTGTGTGTTTGTGTCTGTGTGTCTGTGTGTGTGCGTATGTTGTCAGAGCACCTTACCGATCACTGCACCTGTACACAGCCCATCTGAAATTAGCCCGCCCAACTACCTCATCCCTATATTGTTATTTATTTTGCTCATTTGTACCCCAGTATCTCTCTTGGAAACATCATCTCTTGCACATCTATCATTCCAGTGTTAATACTAATTGTAATTATTTTGCACTATAGCCTATTTTATTGCCTTACCTCCATAACTTGCTAAATTTGCACACACTGTATATATATGTATTTCTGTTGTATTTATTTTTTACTTTGTTTTGTTTTACCCCATATGTAACTCTGTGTTGTTGTTTTTATCGCACTGCTTTGCTTTATCTTGGCCAGGTCGCAGTTGTAAATGAGAACTTGTTCTCAACTGGTTTACCTGGTTAAATAAAGGTGAAAAAAAAATGTCTCTGTGTGTGTGTGTGTGTGTGTGTCTCTGTGTGTGTGTGTGTGTGTGTGTGTCTGTGTCTGTGTGTGTGTCTGTGGTGTGTGTGTATGTGTGTCTGTGTGTGTCTGTGGTGTGTGTGTGTGTCTGTGTGTGTGTGTGTGTGTGTGTGTGTGTGTGTCTGTGTCTGTGTCTGTGTGTGTGTCTGTGGTGTGTGTGTATGTGTGTCTGTGTGTGTCTGTGGTGTGTGTGTGTGTTGTGTGTGTGTGTGTGTGTGTGTGTGTGTGTGTGTGTGTGTCTGTGTGTGTGTGTGTGTGTCTGTGGTGTGTGTGTGTTTGTGTGTGTGTGTGTGTATCCTCCTAAAGCCATCATCAGTCTGAGAGCTGAGAGGATAAGGAGCTGATATAAAGATTAACACACCGCCTCACACCTCCTCACACCTCCTCACACCTCCTCACACATCATCACACACCTCACACCTCTTCACACCTCCTCATGTTTCCTCACACCCTTCACAACCCATCACATCTCCTCATACCCCTTCACATCTCCTCCTCCCCCTCACACCTCATCACACCTTGTCACATCACTTCACACCTATTCACACCGCCTCCTGTCACCTCACACCACCTCAAACCACCTCACACCTCCTCATTTTTCCTCACACCTCATTACACCTTCATCACACCTCTTCACACCTCCTCATGTTTCCTCACACCTCATCACACCCCATCACACCTCCTCATGTTTCCTCACACCTCATCACACCTCATCACACTACCTCCTGTTTCCTCACACCTCCTTATACCTCTTCATACATCCTCCTGCCTCCTCACACCTTTTCACATGTCCTCCTGCCTCCTCACACATCATCACACCTCTTCACACCTTTTCACACCTCTTTAGACCTCCTCACACCCCATCCTGCCCCCTCACACCTCATCCTGCCTCATCACACCTCCTCACACATCTTCCTTCCATATCATACCTCCTCCTGCCATCTCATACCTCCTCTCACTGCCTCACACCTCATCACACCTCTTCCTGACTCCTCACACCTCCTCCTGCCATCTCACACCGCCTCTCACCCCTCACACCTCCTCACATCTCCTCACACCTCCTCTCCCCTCATCACACCTACTCCTGCCTCCTCACACCTCCTCACACCTCCTCACACACACCTCCTCACACCTCCTCATACCTCCTCACACCTCCTCACACTTTTGACCATGGGCAGCCTGTGTCTTTTGGCTCCTAACTCTAAGAAACCATAATTACTCAGTAATTACTAATGTTTCCTTCAGTCACGTTTCTGGGAATTGTAGCCATAGATGTATTGGTTTGATAATGAAGCCCTCTGCATTCAGCCAGTCAGTCACCCAGCCAGCCACTCAGCAAGCCAGCCAGTCAGACAGCCAGCCAGCCAGCAAGTCAGTCAGTCACCCAGCCAGCCAGCAAGTCAGTCAGTCACCCAGCCACGGTAAAACACTGTGGGGAAAGAAATACAAATAAATGATGCATAATAACAGTGCTTTTTTGTCTTCCTTCAGTGCTGGCCGTTTGTGTAGGAACGTTCTTCCTGAATTGACAACACAGTTGACAATTAATCAACATGTTGCAACTATTTGGAAAAGGCTGGCTAAGATGGGTGGGGATAATTGGGGTAAAATTGAATTGTGACTTACACTTTCAAACTCCTATCATTAGTTGTAGTGCTAGAGGAAGGAGACTTCCAGAATGCAGGAGAGATGACATTTGGATGACATTTAGACTCCTCAATGAAGAACACAGTCAATGAATGAAAGAATAATGGGTGTCTGTCTGTCTGTGTGTCTGTGTGTGTGTGTGTGTGTGTGTGTGTGTGTGTGTGTGTGTGTGTGTGTGTGTCTGTCTGTCTGTCTGTCTGTCTGTCTGTCTGGGTGTGTGTCTGTGTGTCTGAAAATTATTTTGCATATGTCTCTGATTGGATAATGACAAAATAATGAACAGTCCATTCATTAAAGTTGATCTAAATCATTAATAATCCATTTATGAATGTTTATTTTTCTCATTTGAAATGCCAGTTTTCAAGAGGCCATTTGTTACAGACAATAATCAATATTTTTTGGACAGTCTCAGTCTGAAAAAAATGTCATTTTCAAAAGTGCTCTCTACCCTTTCTTACAGACAATGAGCAACATTTTTGTACAGTTCTCCTTATCTCAGTCTGAATTCTAGGTTTTGAGAATGGACCACATTTTGTTGTCCCCAGTCCCCAGCATAAACTGTATCTATCCATCAATCTTGTCCCCAAAACTAAATCCAACCAAAGTCTATGATGACTCATCTCTGTATTTATCCCAGGAGGATGAATTCAAGGGCAAATGCCCACCAAGCTTTACAGCAGTTACTCTTTAATGGAGGGCAGAGGGAAGGATATTTCTCACTCTCTTCCTTAAAGGCACAATCTGGGATGCTCAATGGTCATTTCATTTAACAATATGTATGTATACCCATTTGATCAAAATAAGGATTGTGGTTTTACCTTTTAATGCTGGGCAGTGGAAAGGGTTAAAGAAGAGATGGAGAGGTGGGGAGATGGGGAGATGGAGACAGAAAGAGATGGTGTCCTTGAAGGTCCCACATGCTGTGGTATTGATTCCAAGGTTTTCAGTTCTTCCATTCTGAGAAGATGTGATGTCACACTTGAGACTTTCACTGTGTCAGCAGGAGGTATGGCAGATGTCCTGATGGTTGATTGTTTATTTTCTAATCATATTCTCTCTCTCTCTCTCTCTCTCTCTCTCTCTCTCTCTCTCTCTCTCTCGCTCTCTCTCTCTCTCTCTCTCTTTCCCTCTGTCTCCCGCCCGCCCTCTCTCTCTCGCTCTCTCTCGCTCTCTCTCTCCCCCCTCTCTTGCTCTCTCGCTCTTGTTCACAAAACATTAATCCCCAACATCATCACATCCACAGGGGTAAACATATTTTTTCCTAGAACCATTAATGCTCTCTCTTGTAAAAGAGATTGTTTGTCACTGAGTATAACCTGTATGAAACAAGGTTCAATAAAAATAATGGTTGGGTATTATCACTTCTCCATAAAGCAGGAGGCACTTTTCACTTTTCAGTTTTTTGAGGCTTTTGCTGCCAGCTCACAATTGATATAAAATCAGTGTCACCAGTGGTGTGGAAGGTGAATAGCTCCTATGTCAATGTCCCTGGGGATAGGATGATGAGCTCAATCATATACAATCAATCATACACAATTAATATACTGTACATAATCCATCATACACACATACAATATGTTGTCTATATAAGCGCTATAGTAGTGCATTCCAGTGGCGCCACGGCCTTGGTACAACACTTAAGACCACATTGGGAGAATCTCAATTGCGATTCTTGATTCCTCACGTCCTTTCTCCTCACCTCCTTCTCAAAACCCATTGGATGAGGTCAGAGGAGAGAGGATGTGAGGAATCAAGGAAATACAATTGAGATTCTCCCATAGGTTCTTTGGCTGAATGGTCAATTTTGTGGTGTTGAATTAGTGGCAGGCTGCAAGGTTGCAGGTTGCAAGTTCAGCACAGGTAACCCCCAACTACTAACTACACTACAATATTTATTGCATTTTAATTTAGACAATTGTCTTTTGTATCTTCATAAACAAATGGGCTAAAATTCAGTTAATTAAAAGACTGTGTCCGGAAAAAGGTTTATTCGTTCTTGAGAGACACTGCTGACAGAGAGCGCAGACCCACAGCGCACGCAAGAGGACAGACCGCATTTTGCGCACGACGTCTAAGAGAGAACACTTTAAAATCGGATAATACAAATATAGCCTATTATGTCAAAGTAAAACTCTCCAAAGTGGAAATGCATTTAAACTTTTATAGACTCCATAAAGAAGACATGGGACGTTGAGAGAATGTCTTTCGAAGAACCTTTTAATATTACTCAAGAAGTGGATTTATACCAGAATGTGTCCAAATGGGCGCACCACGGTAATCACACAGGGACGCACCTCGGTAATCACGCAGGGGCCACCTCGGAACAATCCATGTATTATATCAGCATCGCCATCACTGCCGTTTATGGAGTCATCATAGTCGTGGGACTAATCGGTAACATAACCCTCATCAAGACATTCTGTTCCGCTAAGTCCATGCGGAATGTCCCCAACCTCTTCATGTCGAGTCTCGCGCTCGGGGACTTGGTCCTCCTGGTTACCTGCGCGCCAGTGGACGCCAGTCGGTACCTCGCGGACGAGTGGCTCTTCGGGAGAGTAGGATGTAAACTCATACCATTCATCCAACTCACCTCGGTCGGAGTGTCGGTTTTTACCCTGACTGCGTTGTCCGCTGATAGGTAAATAACCTACACTTTATGTTATAGCCTACACTCATATTGCAACATGGACGTTTAGTTATCCAATTATCCAATATTTCCAAATCCAATAGTAATGAATAGTGGATCATGGATAGGATACACATCCCATTGCCAACTGAGCTGGTATTTGAATGTAGAGTTATATGGTTAAATGGTTGTAGGCCTATAGTTACTTTTATCTCAACATATTGTCGTTTTGCGTAAAATGATGAAAACAGGATAGCTTGCCAACCTTATCGAAAATTCTCTCCGAACGCTTCTCTGGCGGGCGAGAGGTTCTTCGGCTAAAGTCTATCGAGATGGAAATAATATGAATTTAAACAACGGTATGGGTACAACCTGACAAGAACATGCTGCTACTGAGGCATGCTACTAATGAGACAATGCAGATACAATCTGATTTACTGTGTCGCGTTATTACGCATTCGGTTCAATGGGATCATACTTTGATGTGAGATATGAGATGTGCTAGAGTCATAGAAATGTGATCTGACATATGAGTGAGTAAGTAAATGAGTGACAGTGCTTGCATGCATGGGCGTGTCTGTGTGTTGTGGGGGTCATAGGCTATATCCCTCCCACACAACTTCCCACAACCAACCTTTTAATTGGGATGATATAGTCTGCATCCCAAATGGCACCTATGTATCCTTCGGGCTCCGGTCAAAAGTAGTGCACTAGGGAATAAGGTACCATTCGGGGTGCCATTTGGGACGCAACCATAAAGTGTGCATCACTGTGGAGTGGGAGGAGAAGACATGCATTAGACAGACTGACCGTCACCATGTCAGCCATATAATTATATAGTCTCTATCTAGCCTATGAAAATGTTCTTATCATAATGTGCATTCTAATGTCTCTCATTTTGCCTACTATCCCATTAGCAGATAAGAATGAATGAATAACTGACAGATAGCCCCCTCTCCTCCCTAGCTTCCCAAAGTTTCCTCCTTTTAAATCCTACCCATATACTTACAACACCTAGCTTAAAATACTATTTCAGAACATTTCTAATACTTTATCTGTGCTTGGTTGAGCTTGTCTCAATGCACAATGGAACATGGCCCTCCAGACATGCAGGAGCAAACACTAAAACTACACTATATATACAGCAGTATGTGGACAAACCTTCAAAATACTGACAGGTGTATAAAATCGAGCACACCACCATGCAATCTCCATAGACAAACATTGGCAGTAGAATGGCCTTAATGAAGAGCTCAGTGACGTTCAACGTGGCACCGTCATAGGATGCCAACTTTCCAACAAGTCAGTTTGTCAAATGTCTGCCCTGCTAGAGCTGCCCTGGTTAACTGTAAGTGCTGTTATTGTGAAGTGGAAACATCTAAGAGCAACAACGGCTCAGCCGCGAAGTGGTAGGCCACACAAGCTCACAGAACGAGACCGGCGAGTGCTGAAGCGCGCAGCGCGTAAAAATTGTCTGTCCTCGGTTGCAACACTCACTACCGAGTTCCAAACTGCCTCTGGAAGCAACGTCAGCACAATAAATGTTCATCGGGTTAAAATGGGTTTCCATGGACGAGCAGCCGCACACAAGCCTAAGATCACCATGCGTAATGCCAAGCGTCGTCTGGGGTGGTGTAAAGCTCACGCCATTGAACTCTGGAGCAGTGGAAACACGTTCTCTGGAGTGATGAATCACGCTTCAAGATCTGGCAGTCCGACGGATGAATCTGGATTTGGCGGATGCCAGGAGAATGCTATCTGCCCCAATGCATAGTGCCAACTGTAAAAATTGGTGGAGGAGGAATAATGGTCTGGGGCTGTTTTTCATGGTTCGGGCTAGGCCCCTTAGTTCCAGTGAAGGGAAATCTTAACTCTACAGCATACAATGACATTCTAGACGATTCTGTGCTTCCAACTTTGTGGCAACAGTTTGGGGAAAGCCCTTTCCTGTTTCAGCATGACAATGCCCCCGTGCACAAAGCGAGGTCCATTCAGAAATGGTTTGTCGAGATCGGTGTGGAGGAACTTGACTGGCCTGACCTCAACTCCATCGAACACCTTTGGGATGAATTGGAACGCTGACTGCGAGCCAGGCCTAATCGCCCAACATCAGTGCCTGACCTCACTAATGCTCTTGTGGCTGAATGGAAGCAAGTCCCCGCAGCAATGTTCCAACATCTAGTGGAAAGCCTTCCCAGAAGAGTGGCGGCTGTTATAGCAGCAAAGGGTGGACCAACTAAAATATTTCAAAATAGTAATAGTATTTGAATGCAGGTCTGATACCTCCTATTGAAAGTAGAATGTGTCTTCTGTATAATCTGTTGTGTGGCTAGAAGATAAACGGAATATAATTACTTATAATATATTTTATTTTTTTTTCACCTTTATTTAAACCAAGGTAAGCACAGTTGAGAACAGGTTTTCATTTACAACTGACGGACCTGGCCCATGATAATAAGGCAAAGTAGTGCAATAAAAAACAACACAGAGTTACATATGGGTTAAAAAAAACAAAGTCAGAAAATACAACAGCAAATAATATATACATGTGTGTGCAAATGTAGCAAGTTATGGAGGTAAGGCACATAATGGCGATAGTGCAGAATAATTACCCATAGTATTAACACTGGAATGCTAGATGTGCAAGAGATTTGTGCAAATAGAATACTGGGGTGCAAAAGAGCAAAATAAATAACAAATAGGGATGAGTAGTTGGGTGGCTAATTTCAGATGGGCTGTGTACAGGTGCAGTGATCGGTAAGGTGCTCTGACAAACTGATGCTTAAAGTATATTGAGGGAGATAGAGTCTCCACTTCAGAGATTTTGCAATTCGTTCCAGTCATTGGCAGCAGAGAATGGAAGGAATGGCGCCAAAGGAAGGTGTGGCTTTGGGAATGACCAGTGAGATATACCTGCTGGAGCGCAGACTACGGTGGGGGCTGCTATGGTGACCAATGAGCTAAAAAAGGCGGGGGTTTCCTAGCTGATTTATAGATGGGCCCGGAGCCAGAATAGAATGAATAGAATAAAATAAAAAGAAAGATGATATGTAATAGAATGAATAGTGCTCAATAATAAAAAAAATAAATAAATATATGATCTTAAAGTGCCCTCGCATCCTCCCCGCCTCGCCCCCCTTTCCCCTAGCCTGTGCATCGCCCCGCCCCCGGGTTTTCCCGAAAACCCCCCCCCCGGGGGCCCCGCCTCCCTTCCTTCCCTCTCCCCCAGCGCGCCCCCGGCCCCCGGGGGTTTGTGATGGGGTTTTTCCCGGGGCTTCGTTTTCCCCCCCCCCCTTGGGCCCGCCCCCGTTGTTCCTGCCCCGCTAATAACCCGTGCCTAACTCCCTTTCCCCCTTGCCTGCCGACTGCTCCTGTTTTTCCCCTCGATGGGACCTCCTTCCTGCCTCCTCATCTCCCCTGTCTGCCTCTCCTGCGCCTCGCCTGCTCCCCCCTGCCTCGCCTCGCCTCGCTCGCGCCTGCCTCGCCTGCCTGACTCGCCTCCCCGCCTGCTGCTCGCCGCCGTCGCCTGCCTCGCCTGCCTCCATCCTCGCCTGCGCTCGCCCTGCCCTGCCTCGCTCGCCTGCTCCCTCGCCCTCTCCTCGCCTCTCCTCGCCTCGCCTCGCCTCGCCTGGCCTGCCTCTCCTCTCCTTATAATGAATTAGAATGAATAGAATAGAATGAATAGAATATAATTAATAGAATATAGTGAATAGAATATAACAGAATGAATAGAATATAATTAATAGAATATAATTAATAGAACATAATAATAGAATATAATTAATAGAATATAATTAATAGAATGAATATAATTAATAGAATGAATAGAATAGAATGGAATGAATAGAATAGAATGAATAGAATAGAATGAATAGAATGGAAGGTACGTTGATGCCCAATCAACACATTATGGTCCCGTCTGATGTCAATAGAAGATCTTCATTCAGGTAGCAGACATGAGGCTCTTTACCAAACAGTCAAAGGAAGCGAGGGGTTGAAAGTGATGAAAAATGAACAGCAGAATGTAGAGTTCACTGGAGAACAATCGGTTTGGTAGAATACAGATGGTTAGAGGAAAACTGGCTGTGTCCCAAATGGCACCTTATTCCCTTTATAGTACATTGAGAGACATAGGGAATAAGGTGCTATTTAGAGACATAGGGAATAAGGTGCTATTTAGAGACATAGGGAATAAGTTGCCATTGAGAGACATAGGGAATAAGGTGCTATTTAGAGACATAGGGAATAAGGTGCCATTGAGAGACATAGGGAATAAGGTGCTATTTAGAGACATAGGGAATAAGGTGCTATTTAGAGACATAGGGAATAAGTTGCCATTGAGAGACATAGGGAATAAGGTGCTATTTAGAGACATAGGGAATAAGGTGCCATTGAGAGACATAGGGAATAAGGTGCTATTTAGAGACATAGGGAATAAGGTGCCATTGAGAGACATAGGGAATAAGGTGCTATTTAGAGACATAGGGAATAAGGTGCCATTGAGAGACATATGGAATAAGGTGCCATTGAGAGACATAGGGAATAAGGTGCCATTGAGAGACATAGGGAATAGGGTGCCATTGAGAGACATAGGGAATAGGGTGCTATTTAGAGACATAGGGAATAAGGTGCCATTGAGAGACATAGGGAATAAGGTGCCATTGAGAGACATAGGGAATAAGGTGCCATTGAGAGACATAGGGAATAGGGTGCCATTGAGAGACATAGGGAATAGGGTGCTATTTAGAGACATAGGGAATAAGGTGCCATTGAGAGACATAGGGAATAAGGTGCCATTGAGAGACATAGGGAATAAGGTGCCATTGAGAGACATAGGGAATAGGGTGCCATTGAGAGACATAGGGAACAGGGTACCATTGAGAGACATAGGGAATAGGGTGCCATTTAGAGACATAGGGAATAAGGTGCCATTGAGAGACATAGGGAATAGGGTACCATTGAGAGACATAGGGAATAGGGTACCATTTAGAGACATAGGGAATAAGGTGCCATTGAGAGACATAGGGAATAGGGTGCCATTTAGAGACATAGGAAATAAGGTGCCATTTAGAGACATAGGGAATAAGGTGCCATTGAGAGACATCGGTATAAGGCAAGCAGAGATGAAGAATCATATGTCACACATGATATTTCTACGTTGAGGAGAACATGTCTTCTTCTTCTTCTTCTTCTTCTTCTTCTTCTTCTCTTCTTCTTCTTCCTCATCCTCCAGGTACAAGGCAATCGTGAAGCCCATGGACATCCAGGCGTCCAACGCCACGGCGAGGATCGTCCTGCGGGCTGCGTTGATCTGGCTCTTCTCCATGACCCTGGCTGTCCCCGAGGCTGTCTTCTCAGACCTCCGCACGTTCAGCATCCACAGCACCAATGAGACCTTCATCACCTGCGCCCCCTATCCCCACGCTGGGGAACTGCACCCCAAGATCCACTCCATGACCTCCTTCCTCATCTTCTATGTCATTCCTCTGTCGGTTATATCAGTCTATTACCTGTTCATCGCCAGGAGCCTGAACAGGAGCGCCTATAATATGCCGGTGGAGGGCAACGTGCACATCAGAAGACAGGTGGGTCACTCTTCTTCTTCTCCTTCTTCTTCTATTTTCTATTCCTCCATCTTCACCTCTCTCTCTCTCTCTCTCTCTCTCTCTCTCTCTCTCCCTCTCTCTCTCTACAACATCACAGATAGAGTCCAGGAAGCGCCTGGCCAAGACCGTCCTGGTGTTCGTGGGCCTGTTCGCCGTGTGCTGGCTCCCCAGTCATGTGATCTACCTAAACCGCTCCTACCACTACTCCGAAGTCGACACCTCCATGGCCCACTTCATCTTCACTGTGGGGGCCCGCGTCCTGGCCTTCACTAACTCCTGTGTCAACCCCTTCGCCCTCTACCTGCTCAGCAAGAATTTCCAGAAGCAGTTCAACAAGCAGCTGTGTTGTTGTTGTCGAGCCCTGGCGAAGAGGTCCCAGAGCACGGGGAGGAACAGGAACAACACACACATGACCTCCCTCAGGACAACCAACCACTCAGTGGCCAGTCTGAGCTTTATTCATGGAAAACAGGTCTGTCAGGAGGACAGTGTGTGAGAGACAGATGGGTGGACAGAGGGAGAGAGCGTGAGACAGACAGAGAGGTGGACGGTAGGAGAGCGACAGACAGAGGTGGATGGTAGGAGAGAATGTGAGACAGACAGACAGACAGACAGACAGGTCTACCAAGAGGAGAGAATGTGAGACAGGACGAAAGACAGACCTAGGACAGACAGACAGACGACAGACAGACAGACAACAGACAGCCTACAGGTCTACCAGGGGAGATAATTAACGACAGACTGTATACACAGAAGAGAATGTGAGACAGACATACAGACAGACAGACAGGTCTATCAAGAGTAAGAGAATGTGAGACAGACGCAACATGTCTACCAAGAGAAGAGAATGCTGAGACAGACAGACAGACAGACAGACAGACGACAGACAGACAACAGACAGACAGACAGACAGCAGACATACAGACAGGTCTACCAAGAGGAGAGAGTGTGAGACAGACAGACAGGACAGACAGAAGGCAGTCTACCAGAGGACAGAGAAGTGAGACAGACAGACAGACAGGTCTACCAGAGAGGAAGAGAGATGTGGGGCAGACAGACAGACAGTCTACCAAGAGAGACAGATGGAGACAGACAGACAGACAGGTCTACCAAGAGGAGAGAATGTGAGACAGACAGACAGGTCTACCAAGAGGAGAGAATGTGAGACAAACAGACAGACAGGTCTACCAAGAGGAGAGAGTGTGAGGCAGACAGACAGACAGATCTACCAAGAGGACAGAGCGTGAGACAGACAGACAGACAGACAGACAGGTCTACCAAGAGAAGAGAGTGTGAGGCAGACAGACAGACAGATCTACCAAGAGGACAGAGTGTGAGACAGACAGACAGACAGGTCTACCAAGAGGAGAGAATGTGAGACAGACAGACAGGTCTACCAAGAGGAGAGAATGTGAGACAGACGACAGGCTACCAAGAGGAGAGAGACAGACAGTCTACAGAACATGACAGACAGGTCTAGCAGAGGAGAGAGTGTGAGCAGACAGACAGACAGGTCACCAGAGGAGGAGTGTGAGGCAGACAGACAGACAGACAGAGACAGACAGACAGACAGACAGACAGACGACAGACAGACAGACGACGATCTACAAGAGACAAGTGTGAACAGACAGACAGACAGGTTACAAGAGGAGAAATGACAGAAGATACGACAACGACAGACAGACGCAACAGGACAGATACACAGCAGACAGACATACAGACGACAGAAAGAATGACGGATTAGGCCAAGGATTAAACCAAAATGACATGAGTTATTAGGTGAAAGTACTATGCTAAGGCTTAGCTGCATACATGTCGCTACATTAGCTCACTACAATCACTGCGTTTTACTTGATGAAGAGCATGATTATGTAAATGTTGCTTAAGTCACATGTTCAATTCCGTTTCATATGTCTGTATCAAAGGTTTGAGTGCTGAATGCAGATGGGTCGGGTGGGAGAGAGAAAATTGCTCACACTTTGAAATGGCCGCTAATCTTGAATCACTTGAGGGTGTTTCTTGACCTGTTTGATTGTATTGAGCCCTTAATCAAGATCACACAGCAGCTATATAGGTGACCTATATAAAACAGTATATGTATCTTTATGTATATGTATCTTTATGTATATCAACAGTATATGTTTGCTAATTATACATTTAAAAGTTAAAGGCATTTAATTAGTTAAATATAAAAATGTTTAGTATTTTGTGCACGTGCACTTGATATCGTGTCTTATAAGACCATAGGGGCTGGGCACCAATCAGTGTATGACAAATAAATAAAATAAATCAATCAATCATGTACTATATGTACAGAATGTTACTCTGTGGTTCAGCTCTGTGGTTCAGCTCTGTGGTTCAGCTAGCTCTGTGGTACAGCTAGCTCTGTGGTTCAGCTAGCTCTGTGGTTCAGCTAGCTCTGTGGTTCAGCTAGCTCTGTGGTACAGCTAGCTCTGTGGTTCAGCTAGCTCTGTGGTTCAGCTAGCTCTGTGGTTCAGCTAGCTCTGTGGTACAGCTAGCTCTGTGGTACAGTAATGTTGTCAATATGTGCAGTTAATATGCAGTTGATGTGCCTTCATATTAGTAGGTTAGTGTGTTGTGCCAACAATTCTTCACCTCATCTGGGTATTGAAAATGTCAATGTTATTGTAGAATGTTGCTGCTGTGTATCGTCTTGACTGGCTAGATGTTGTCTGTAATGTAAGACCCTAGAGGTTTTGGGAATAAGTCATTGCCTTCGTCTGAAATTGCACCCTACTCCCTATAGGGAATAGGGTGCAAAGTAGTGTAGTACATAGGGAGTCATTTCGGACGCACCAATAGTTTACGAATGTTTCACATGGCCGCGTCTGAAAATGGCACCCTACATATGTCGGATCTTAATTTGACCCATTTCGTCGCAGGAGGAAAATTATCCTACAGAAAGAGGATTTGAATGAATACTGAATATTTAGAATCGCCCCAAGGGGACAGCTGGATGCGTTGTTTGTAGCCTTTTCAATACAGTACCTTACCTACATTGTAGCTGGGTATAAATACAACAGATTCTGTTCCAAGAGCCCCGGACCCAACTCATTGGAATGTACCCACCCCATGGCCCAACTAGCAATTTAAATAAAAAGCCTCTTAAATAAAAGATTGTGTCTGTGATGTGGCATTGCATACAGTAGTCCTATTATATGGACTGGAATTACGCACCTCCTTCAAACTATGAAGCTGGGAGAGAACAGGCCATGATGATGGTCCATTGATGTGTGCAGGACAGTGATTTAATAGATGAATGGGGCTGTCAACTGAGCCAGACATTCATTCAAATATTTGCCCTCTTTTTAACAGATATGTATTTACATCTCTATCACATGAAACTGCTGGAACGTGTTGTGCGCTTTAGACCAGTGTTTTCCCGCTACTTGCATTTTGGAACATTCGCGCATATTACCATGTGCGCATTGCTGCGCTTATAATGTGAAGAAATAATAGTTTATCAACATTTTAAGCTAAACTTTCCGATCTGTTCCATCAGTCTCTCTGTGTTTATAGGCTGTGCAGTCTATTTTTAAACCGCAGGTCTACTGGGCGTCAGTTCAAGTAGCTGTAGGCTACGTTCAGGCTACAATGTGTCTTGTGTGAATCCTTATGTGGATTATAACAAATTGACATATTTGTAGGGGGGAAATGTAATTTTTTAAATGGGAAATCCGTTTTTTAAATCGATTATTTTATTATATTTTTAAGGTAAGCAATCGGCAGGATACATTATGGTTGGCCTCAGTGTGTGTGGTCCAGTGGTTACATAAAAGCTAAAAGTTATGAAAGGAGTGGGACTGCCCCACTTCTTAAAAAATACCTTTAAAAATAATAATAGGCTTATAATATAACGATCATACAGTATAATGGTGATATAGGCTAGGCCTAATAATATGCATTTAGCAGTGGGAGGATTTTAACAGGAATACATGGGTGCGGAAAACAGATTATAATAATAATAATATGCCATTTAGCAGACGCTTTTTTCCAAAGCGACTTACAGTCATGCGTGCATACATTTTTGTGTATGGGTGGTCCCGGGGATCGAACCCACCACCTTGGCGTTACAAGCGCCGTGCTCTACCAGTTGAGCTACAGAGGACCACAATTCTTGAATGATAATGACCGAATCATTGTCGGCATGATTAGACGGGGTGGTTGCGAATTGCAGGAGCGGGGATGGTAAAATCTGCTGTTCAACAAGCTGTTCAATCAGCTGTCAATCAACTGATGGCTCAACTCAACTCATCAACTCTGCCAGGGAAACACAAACAGTAGCCTACTATAGGTTTTTCACAGGCAGCCCAAATCTGATATTTTTTCCACTAATCGGTCTTTTGACCAATCACATCACACCTTTAATATCATGAGCTTTTTCAGAGCTCATCTGATTGGTCAAAAGACCAATTAGTGAAAAAAAGGTCAGAATTGGACTGCCTGTGTAAACGCAGCCAGAACGTGACAATGGATAGGCTAACGGGTAGCCTACGATTGGAATATAATCAAATAACAACGGGCCTATTGCAACCCTCCATGGCACTAGATTATCGCCAGCTGATGTCTCGTTAAACCATCAATACTAAATTCCCCAACACAGCTGATCTCAATTGCAACCATTATTGGTCACCTCCACCGCTCCCTGAAAGATGACGTCGGTGTCCTGCTTGCAACCAAAGTATTTTAAGTAGATGTTCTTCTCGGGTGGTATTGTCATCGGAACAACTTGGTCCTTTTTGACAGACTAGGGGCGATTTATCTATTTGACAAGCATTCCACACAATTTAAATAAAGTATTTCCTCATTTACCACTGCAAATCTGTGGCAATTTACCTGACACTTTGTATGAATGGAAACTAATGTTGCTGTAACCTACTGTTATTATTGAATTCGTTTCCTATTGATGTTATCCATTAAAGACAACTGTCTTTAAAAGTGTCTGGTACAGTCATTTCTTACAAGATATCCCTGGACTGTCCATATTTGAAATGTGTAACTAAATCAAGTCAAAGGGGGGAATTTAGTTATTTGTGCCAGAAGAGCATGGGCTGGAATCGAATCCACGCTGACACGGCAGGTTTATTTGTGCGCAGCTGTAATAACCGCTATACCAGGGCTCTCCAACCCTGTTCCTGGAGAGCTACGGTCCTGTAGGGTTTCACTCCAACCCCCTGTAGGGTTTCTCTCCAACCCTGTTCCTGGAGAGCTACGGTCCTGTAGGGTTTCGCTCCAACCCTGTTCCTGGAGAGCTACGGTCCTGTAGGGTTTCGCTCCAACCCTAATCCAGCACACCTGATTCTAATAATTAGCTGGTTAATAAACTGAATCAGGTTAGTTACAACTGGGGATGGATTGAAAACCTAAAGGAGGGTAGCTCTCCAGGAACAGGGTTGGAGAGCTCTGCGCTAGACCATCCCAGGTCACTGATTGAACTCAATGTTGACAGTTGATTCATAATCTTAGGTTCTCTAG